AAGGGTCAAACACTGGACAGTTGTTTTGCTTTGCACGGTACAAATCTCATCTTTTCGGTGTTCGCATTACCCTATAGGGGGGTAACTTTGGGGAAAAAAATGTTGCGAGGGGGGTGAGGTGCCGCCCGTAATTTGGGACAAACATGATCCTATTTTGTAATGCACCCCCCCCCCCCCCCAATATAGTTCGTATCTCCTTATTTTATTATGTATTGTATGTATAGAGAGCATATGGGCCAGTGTGTGTGTTTGTGTGTGTGAGAGAGAGAAAGGGGACTCCCAACGATCACTTGGAAGCTATCTTCTTTTTCTTATATGTGAGAGAGAAAATGAGCCCATTTAGCAAGATAGATATGGGCCGCAACCATATTTATATGCATCAACTATTTTTTTATTCTTTTTTTTGGAGAAATTTTTTTTTTTTTGAGGTACTTATGTTTTTCTTTCTTTTGTTTTTTTTTCTCTTTTTTTCTAAGAGATGGCATTAGGCGTGTATAGTTTTGGTGAGCTAGAATCACCCCCCCTAAAAAAACGGCACAAAAAAATTACCTTTTGCCCCTTTTTAGGGGGAAAATTACTTTTTTACCTTGGCCAAGGGCATTTATTTTCCCTCCCACATGTTGCATCTAAGCACCCACCTTAATGCAAATGCCTAGACCCAAAAAATGGAAGAAAAAAAAACCTTTTCCCCCCTTTTAAGAGGAAAAAGTTACTTTTTTACCTCGGCCAAGGGCATTTTTCTTCCCTCCCACAAGTTGCATCTAGGCACCCACCTTAATGCAAGTGCCTAGCCGCCGCCTTTGGGCGGCTAGGTGGTTACCAAGGAGCACACCTAAGCATTTTTAAAGCCAGACTGCCTAGGCGGCCAAATTTTTCAGCATTGCTTATGGTGTTACTGAGGGCATAGTCCTTAATAGAGCAAAATGGCAAAAAAGCATTCTTGTAGCCGACCCCAAATAGTTGGGATAAGGCTCGGAAGATGATGATGATATACAAAGCAGCCAAACACCTACTATAATCAAAAGGAAGGATGATACCTGATACAGTCAATATAACCATATTGTCTATATTTAAAATCATAAACATGAATGCAGGTAGAAAATTTGGTACGAACTTCGAGTGGACAATTCAAAACATGTTTTGATAACCCTAAAATATTTGCCTAAGGGTTAGTAAGATGCCACCATGCCAAGCTTAAGTTACGGCAATGTTTCAAAAAGCGTTGGGCAGCGCCTAGGTTGCGGGGGGTTTCCAAGCCGCCCAACGCCAAGGCGGGCGCCGAGAAGCTAGGTGGCCTAGTAGAAAGAAACATGTCTCTATAGTCTAACAGTATAAGTATAACTGTATAACAAATAAGAATTAAGGATTTAGGGCACATCAATGTATAGTACACAACTCCACATAGCACACACTCCATACTCCAAAACTATAAGTCCATGTTAATTATCCATAATCTGATAGTCCATACTCAACAGTCCACACATAATTAAAACTTAAAATTTACCAACCAAATTACCAAAGTTACCAAACCAGTGAACTACAAATCCACAATACACAACCACGAGGAGGAAAACAAAAATGAAATAAATTCTTGACAACCATAACTTTGAGAAACCCTTTGATCCTATGGAAATCACCAAAAACTAGATTTTTGGGGTTTGTCGCTCTCTAAAATAGGCTCTAATGGGTTTTAGATTTCAAATGAACCTAAAACCCACAATTTTGCTCTTTAGTATTAAAACAATGAACAAAAAATGACCGCAACAAGGGGCATTTCCTTCCCTAGGCAGCTGCTAGGCGCCCAGGGATATCCTTCCTACGCTTGGGCGATGTGCCCAGGCCTTCTGGAACACCTAGGCATTGGACAGTCCACTTTTTAAATCACTGATTTATGGAGTTTACAACAAAATTAATAACATACATGACAGAACCCAGTATAGTCGATCTTTTGTGAGGAACAAGTTGCACAATATCAATGAACATGAAACATAATAATGAACAAATACTATAGCATTATATACCACTAGTGCAAAGTTGATGCTTAAAACTCTTGTATAGCAATTCCAATTGCACCTAGTCTTGTTCTAATGGGAACTAATAAGGCATATACATAGCCATTTCCCAAAGAGAAAAAAGATAATATCCAAAGAGGGATTTTTTTTGGTCGTGTATGTGGGTGTGGGTGTGGGTGTGGGTGTGGGTGTGGGTGTGGGTGTGGGTGTGGGTGTGGGTGTGGGTGTGGGTGTGGGTGTGGGTGTGGGTGTGGGTGTGGGTGGGTGTGTGTGTGGGAGGATGTTGAGGGAGCTAGTTTTTACACCCATTTTATTTGTAACTACACCCGCCATGCTAACTCACCCGTCATTTGATGCTCTAGGCAAAAATCTCAATAGTTTTAATGGGATGGCCCTTTCATATATCACACTCTTCCTAATATCTAAGTGCTTTTGGCAAGCTTCGCCTTAAACCTTCAAATATTCAACTTATCTACAAGCTTCTCATTAGAACCTATTTTGGGAAAATAAATAAATATTGGAGCTGCATGGCCTTTTAGCTCGAGAAGTGACTTTATAAACTGCTATAAACAGTATCCTTATCTCTTTTAGTCTACTAAAATGGAACCTCAACAAAATAGTGAAAATGAAAAATAGGGTATAATTAATGAAAAGTAGCAAAAGTAATGACGGCAATCTAATTTAAATATGGATTGAGCACCATTTGGCATGTAGCACCACTTGGTGCTGGAATTCCAGCCATAGCCCAAAAAGAGAAAAGAATCCCATTTTGATTCACATTGAAAAAAATTCTCGTAAAGGCAGCCTCCATACAGTTAAATCCTTGCCTTCAAAGTCTCACATGAGGCAATTGTGAAAAATACCCCAATCTGATGCAAAGATGGGGGAATACAGTTAAGGGAAGAAAATATACTGCAAACTCCAACCCCAACTAGGAGAAGACTTGCGGAAGACTAGGATTTTGTGTCCTAGATAGAGAGATAGTAGTTTTGAAAGAGCGAGAGAAAGAGAGAATTTGTATTGTGATTTTGGATTAGGAAAAGCAATCCGGCTTGTTCATCCACTCCATATTCAGCCAAATATTAGAAGGTATGAGAATGAAAGGACCAATGTATTCCCTTTGATTAAAGGAACTCAATAAGTCTAAAACTTGACAACCTTAGGGTATTTCAAAGTCTATTTGCCAAAGATACTACTCAAAGTGACTATGGAGTTGACAAGAAGTGTTTATTTGCCAAGAGGGTGGCTGAATAACCTAAGCCCCTATCAAAATTAAAGGAAAAACATAAACCAACAACAGCTCCACTTCCACATTACACATGGAACGATGAATAGCTTCTTAAAATATGGCCATTGTCCATGGAAAATGTTTAGATCACTTTGCTATATTTTGAATGAGGAATGGTTCTAAATTAATGACTAACAACTTGATACAAGGTTTTGATTATTTTCTTCATGGACTTCATTATGAGGATGGTATAATCCTGTAAAAAACTAAAAAATCGATAATTAGGAACAAAAAATCGCTATTGAGTGTATAAATAAATAATAAAGTATGATGTCAAAGTTTTCATATCCATAGAAGATACCATACTTTACATATTTGAATTGGATCAGTTTAGATTATAACCTGAAAAACTTCGTACACGGCTTTGATTTGCTTCCTAACCCAGCCAAACCCAATTCTGTTACAGCACATTAAGTTCTTTATTTCAGAATACCATTAGATAATTTATTAAATCTTCAATTATCGATAAAATAAAATAAAATTCCATGTTATAAGCAAAGGCTTTTAGCAAATATATTAATGCATGATACTTTTAACTAGATATTATATTGGTCAAAGACATACGAAAAAGAGAGAAATTTCAACTCCATGGTAATTCTATCCAGAGCAATTATGCTTATGTTCCCTAGTCGTAATTAATTTTAAAGATCAAGTGACATGGGACTAGATTGTCTAAAAGCTGCAATTTAATAATGCTTCTTCCAACTGTTATTTAAAATTATAAAACTAACAAACGAGTTTACTTAATCGCAGTAATGGCCAGTACAGAACCTACAGATCAGTTCCTCAAGGAGAGAGAGAGAGAGAGAGAGAGAGAGAAGGAGGCAGGGAGGGAGGGAAAGAGAGAGGATGAGAAAGAGAGAGCCATTAAAATGCATAGTAAACAGAGATGGGCATGCAGCGGTGGAGAAAACAGTCCTGGGCGACAGTTAATTGAGAACATAATCATATGTAACACCTTTTTTGCGGATAAAAATTTCTACAACGGAACTTGTGGGGATGGCCAATACACACTAGGTGCCTTTCTCCCAGCTCCTTGAAAGGGTCATTTTAACCAAAGAAATGTACACTCCATAATACTTGAATTAATGATGGAGTAGGCACCCATTAGAACCATACATAGTGACCACATGAATAAATTATCACGGATTATAACATTAGAATGGGCATCGTAATCCAAATTTCATCAACTATTTATGTTAAGCTAAGCAAGAAAATGAGGGATATGGAATCCTTGCTCTGATCATAAAAATAACTTGTTCCAAATAATGAATTTGGTATTCATTCATGCAATATCAATAATGTTGGGAAAAAACACATGGCAACCAAAAGGTTCAAAACCAACAAAAAGTACCTCCAAAAGATGAGTTATGATTAAATCCATTACCACTAGCAACAGCATCTCCTTTTGCTTTCTTGCGATAGGGTACCAATGGATCCATGGATCGCACTGGCAAAGTAACAAAAAGTTAATAAAGAGGAAAAATACCAATATCAAAAAGAGATCGACTCGTGATAATTTATAAGCAGAAAACCAGAGATAACAAATGTACATTAAATGGATAAGCAATGCACATGAAATGAAACAGTCGCAACCAGACTTTTGCAGATATCTATCGACGATGGCTACCAATACCACACAAAAAGAAAAAAGAGACCAGATTATGATTTCCAGAAGCTAGTAACAAAGGTAATCTTTGTGAATCTCTGGGGGAAAGGAAATAAATCGTTCAACATGACCAAAGAATAAAAAAAATAAAATAGAACGATCACCCGAAATCAGAATGAAAGACCATAAACCAAATGACGAAAGATAAAACTGGAATTAGGATTTCGGACTTACCTGTAACAAAGCGTGAAACTCGACCTCTGGACGATGAATCAAGAGTTTCGAGACGGCCTCAAATGGAGGGGAGAATTATAAAGAGAAAGGAAGCAGGAATTAGGGCCTCGAAACTAGAAGAGAGAGAAGATGGATTCGGAGAGAGCGAATGGGGTTTCGAAAGACAAAAGGGTTATCTATAAACAGGCATGGAGGCGGGAAAACAGAAAATGAAAGCTCTAGGGTTTATCACGGGTCATGGGTGGGAGAAAAAATAAAACCTAGTTCTAGTTCTATAAATATTTTCGGCGAGAAAATCCAATATCTGTGGATTTCTGTGCGTCGGTTTCATTTTGGCTTGTTGCAAATTTGAAGTCCGGGATATTTCCAAAAATAAAAATTTCAATGGAGGGAATATCTTAGTTATTTTTGTGTTAAAGTAAAAATAACATGTATCTAATTAAGGATTGAATTGTACGATTGAATCTCAATCACCTCTGGTTATCCGATGCAAATATGAATATTCTTGTATTTTATTTTATTTTTTTTATAATTCAGTTGTAGGAATTAAATTTGAGATATAATTTTATTGTGTCTTACTTTTCAACATAAAGTTCAGTAAAACTTCGTCATGACTACGAGCATTTGGTATGTCACAATCACCCCAATTTTATATGTAAGATTAAGTAACCAAATATGTATATTTTTTACACGAAATTTAAGACAAATATTAAGATCTTGATAATCAATACTTTTATAAATGAGAAGTTCAAGTGATTGTGGCTTTTTTATACCAGATGTTAATAAACTTAATTTGTACATATTTCATATAATGAGAATGTGTGCTACAAGTTTGTTTAGTTATTGTGTTTCACAATCACAATTGCCTCGACTCATTGAATGTGAAATCAAGCTAATTGTGGTTGTCTTACTATTTAGCCAGAAGTTCGAGTACATTTTTTTGTATTTTGTGCTGCAATGTGACATCCTAACTGCTTGAACAAGCAAACAACTTAAAATTATTTTGACTTTATATTAGAAGTAAATAGTCTTGTACGAGTTTTAAAATCTTAAATGGACTTGCACCTTCCCAAGCATGCACAAACCAAATACAAAAAACACTAGAAGAGTATACTTTTTTACTTGATTGACATAAAAATATGCTTCCATACTACGTGAGATTTTCTTTTCATATGCTATATTTTCCCCTTTTTTGGATTCTTTGATTTGTTTATGATATAAAACATTTTTTGCAACTCATGTATTTTATATATATATATTTTAGTCCTTTTAACCTTTACGGTTGTTTAGAGATCTCGGTTTTTTTTTGTATTTTTTCTAACAAGTATATTGTATATATTTTTTATTTTTTAATCCTTCTTTGAGCTTATATATGACTTGGGTAAATGGACTTGCCTGAGTTGCTCAACTTGGGCCAGGATTGAGTCCTGAGCTCGAGTTAAGTTCTTGCATATTGGTATTATGGTACAGTTTTCCATGTAATGGGATTGTACATTTTTTTTCACAATCAACCCTAATCATTAGATATAAAATCTAAGTAGCTACAAACTTGAAGTAGTTAATGGCACACCTCTGTCGTAAATTATTACTTATCTAATGGCGAGAAGAAATTGTGACATTTCTTACACCAATAGCATATAACCTTAATGTGCGCTCCATGTTTTAACTAGGTTGGTACTCCTTCATATTTCTAGTTTTTTCTCAAACTTAACCTATATAGTTTATCTTCCACAATTGTATTTATTTTTTATTTTTTGGCTGAGGTGGGGTGGTGTCATTTGTTATAAAAAAGCATAAACATCTTGTTGAAATATGGCACAAAACATGGAATATATTTCACATTAGTGCCCGGAAACCTTGAATTATTTGAGAAAAATTGTTACCACGAGAGATATGTTGTCCACGATGCCGAGTTTTGGCCATCTCCCTTTTAATATTTTTTGACGTGAAAAACTAAAAATTCAAAAATTCACAAAAAACAAAAAAAAAAATTCAAATATTTATCTGCTATTTTCAAATGCAGTTTTTTATTTGTTCCTCTCAAAAACGCACTAGACTTGTAACGGAGAAGGCTTGTTTAGTGGTTGATTATTTTTAATTTTTTATTGTGAGTGAAAACAAGGAAAACATAAAATTTTATTTTTAATTCATAAGTCTTACTTTATAAAGGGAAAAGTTTATATAGAGTCGAGGCTCTAAACAATCAAATTTGAGCCTACCTCAAAAAGTTCATTAGAAAAGGTTGTTTTGATGCCTAAATATCTTAAAATTGATCATCTCGACATCAAGGTGCATGGACATCAGAAAAAAATTGATTTCAAGTTTTAGAAATAGTATATTTTGTAATGCATTTTTAGACTGCCAATTTTCAAGATTTTCAAATTTTCATAGATTTGTCAATCTACACTATTTTTTAAGCTTTGCACTTTATAAATAAATATGAAAATATATTTTAAGGCTATCACAAAGATTTTTAGTAGTAAAACCACATTTCTCGATACTATTTGATGGTAGGCTCTAATTTGATTGTTTAGAGCCTAAGCTCTATACAAACCGCACCCCTTTAAAAACATGGGTACAATGTTCGATATATAATATGATCAGGCCGTGGATTAACTTATATCACATACATTAAATTTATTGGGTTGCATGTATTTATGTCATTGTCATGCAATAAGAGCTATTGATTAAATCTCACTCTAACATGCTCTCTCTTATTTTGAACTTCGGAATGGTTTTGTTTTTTTTCTATCTTAAATGAAAATAGATAATTAATTAAATAAAATAAGTTATATGAAAAAAGAAAAATAAAAAAATGAGTAGGCAAGACCCCTAATACTCATAAGCACAAGTGACATTAAAGATACTAAAAATAAATAATTTGAATTTATTTTTTATAGCAATTTATAGCATTTTAAAAGTTTATTTTGCTTGCAAAATGTTTGTAATTGACAAATACTCATAAATGAGATAAGTTTTCAATATTTACATATTTTTATTAAAAATAATAAAAATCTGTAATACAAGATCTCTTTTTTGAAAATCTAAAAAACTAAGTTTTTAAAAAATTCGACTGATCTTTTTTAATTTGTTTTTTTTTGAAACCAGAACCAACTTATCCGGTTAATTTATCGAATTTAAACCGACTCACCCGGCAAATTATCCAAATCGGATAGCTAATCCATCAATTTAACCCGATTTTCAGGCTAGCCGGTCCGAGTCAACGATCCGCCAGAAATTGTATGCATAAGGCAGAGCTTCTAGAATCTCACTGGCACGTGCGGAGCGCACTGCATAATCTCAGCTCATTCCGCTTCCTCCCATGTCCCAATGCGTAGGCGGGAAGTTGCATTTCACCGTCAAAGTTTGAGCGGAGGGTTTTATTTGGCGAACCACTCTCTGAAACTCCCTCTCTCTCTCTCTCTCTCTCTCTCTCTCTCTCTCTCTCTCTCTCTCTCTCTCTCTCTCGTCTCTCTCGTCTCTCTCTCTCTCTCTCTCTCTCTACTACTACGTACTACTACTCTACTCTACTACTACGTACTAC